AAAAAAAAAAAAAAAAAAAACCACACACATTTACATTTACAGTGTGCTGTGCACAGCCCCGTGAAAGACCGTGAAGCTATCACCATGTCCTGGTGATTGCCACCCTGCCTGGCAAGGCCTCTGTCCTCTCACTGAGGCCCAGTCTGCCACCTCCTTGCAGGGTGTGATGGCTCGCTGTGGTGTGGCTGCCTGGTCTCTAGGAGTACCTCTGCATGTGCTCACCTGGGATGCTAATGTTGGAGTCAATCCCAAGTACTCAATGCAGGTAAGCAGCTCCTGGGACAACCCCTGACCCCTCTCCCAATCCTGCCTGATGGTGGCACTACATTCCCATCCTGTCTGGATCCCAAGGCCAGATCTTTAACTGTCCCCACCACCCCCAAAACTGTTAAGTGTGCTCCCCCAACCCCAGAGCTGACCATGGCAGTACCCTTAGCTTCTGGGGGTTGAGGACTCCTGTGGACTCCTGAAGAAAGCCATGCACAGAAAAGCATGTTATCTCAAAGCTTGCAAACATGTCTCAGGGAAATCTGGGATGCCTTTTCAGGACACCTACTCCCTCAGCAATGGAGACCTAGCCTGGGCCTTCCCTATGTCTGACCAGCCAGTTTTACCTCCTCCAATCCCTAGCAGCCTCCCCCAGCCCCACTAGTAGTAGATTATCCTGGCACCACCACTGCCTGCTGCATGTCCACTCTCATGGCACACTGAGAACTGCAGGGACTAGATAAAGTTTCACGGGTGGATGAAACTGCCTGCTAGGTCAGTCCAGGACACCCGTGCATATGGACGCAGGGCTGGCTGTTGTTTCCACACTCAGACTCAACTTTAAAAGAGGGAGGGACGCCACCCAGAGCCCTGCTGGCCTTGCTCTTTTCTGAGGAAGGCGGGCAAGAACAAACTGCGCCAAAGGAGGAAGAAAGAGTGAACACATCTGTCAGCAAAAGCCCCTACGGACCCAGTAATTTTATCTGTCAGCTGAGGTTCCTGCTTCCAGCCTGCCCGCCCCCTTGGTCCTGTTCTTCCCATCTGCTTCTGGGGCGGTGAGAAGAGGGGGTGGGAATAGACCTTCCCCCATCTCAGAGGCTCTGTACAGAGGTGAATGGACATGTGGCTAAGAATAGACATGTCTGGTGCCATCAGGACATTTGCAGACACACCCTCCTCTAGAGCCTATGCTGGGGGGAGGGCAGCTTAGGCTGTGGTGACCTTCCTCAGCACCATCTCCCAACTCATCATCTACCTTACCTGGGCCACCTCTATGCCCCACAAACCTGCCATCTCCCATATGCTGCTGCCTCTGACATGGAGCCAGTGGGCAGATGCCACCTTTAGCTTAGGTCTGTACCCTTAGTAGCAGCTCCCCTGTGTAGAGCTACCCCAGAAACTCAGCCCAGCACCTTCAAACCCCTACTGCCCCAAGGAACTCACGTCCAAGCTCTGGAAGCAGACAGGTCATGCCACATCATCCTGGGAGTCAGAAACGGGGGCACACACCCCTCCCTGGCATGGCATGGCCCCTCACCTGTGGGATGTTGACGAGCAGACTGGTGTTGGGGACATTGGCAACACGGATGAGGCCCTGCTGGATGATTCTCTGTCCCTGAATTTGCACGCTGGGCACAGATGCCCGAGGGGCCAGGAGGAGGGGCGGCGGCCCAGTGCTGGAATGTTGTCTGATATTGTGGATTTGCTGCAGGAGTGAGGTGAGGTAGAGGGTATAAGAAATCTGAGTGAGATCAACAGTGGAAGGAGGCCTCAAGATCCTAGAAAGGGTCCTTATCACAAGGCAGTTGGCTGCTGGGATTCCAAACACATACTGCTCTGCTTACCTGAGCCCCTCTGACAAGCGGAGGCATGACAACCTGTGAGCTTGCTTGTGGCCCCAGCTTCGATGACGCCTGCTGCCCACCACGAACCAGGGGCGGAGGGATAACACTGCCAGGCATTCGAGTTGAAGAGGTCTGCCAATGACACCAATGCCCAGATGTATATGACTTTTTTCTTACTTTTTAAAAGCAGGTTTGTTGATTTGGAAAAGCATATACTAGATATTTTTCAAAAGACAGCAAGATAAATTTTTAAAAACTAGCTAAGATACCTACTCATTCTAAACACAGAAAAACAAGGAATACAATCTCCAACCAGAGCAGTGCAAACCTGGGCTCACTCAGGATTGAGTCTCACCAAGTTGGCACAATACCAGGTGACACTGGCCCTGGTAGCCATAGTAGGAGAGCAGCTAGGCCAGGATGGGATGTCATCCACTGGGGCGGATAAAGGTGGGGCTCAGGCCTATTTTGGGGAAGGGAGTATGGGACCTTAGCCCTGTGGCTGGGAGCCACAGCCTTTGCCCCTCACCTTGAGGGCGCCCTGTAGGCAGACAAGCTGGGAGAAGGCTCTGCCAGGCCTAGGCTATTCAGGCCCAAAGGACACCCTGGACCACCCACCGTCAGCAATGTCAACATGAAAGGAGCCCAGACTCTTTGAGTACTTGTTTCAGTTTGGTAAGGGTGTTCGATGGAGAGGCTCTTCCATTGTCATCCATGATTTCTGTCTGTGATGTCAATAGTGTTCTAGTTTAGACATTGTGGACATGTTACTTCAACTCCAGGATGTCAAGAGGAAGTCTTAGCTCTATCCGACTTGGAAGGAACTGGCAGCCTTTCACAGGACCTGGATTAGCACTGCTCAGGAGCCCAACGGGCCTGTTTCTGAATGCAAACAGCAGCAATGCCAGCCAGACACCTGCCAATGCACAGAGGGGACACTGACCTGAAGTGAGGGCTTGCCAGCAGGAATGTTCTGCGTGCCCCGCACGAGCGGGGGAGGGGTGGTCACGGTGTTCCCTGCAGAGCCTGTGGGCTGTTAAGGAGAGCAGGACACAAACGAGGTGAGAGGGCTATGGGGCCCTCCCCCAACATGGAGGCACCAATATATAATGCTAATAGAAGACAGTTGGAGTTGGCGCATTCTACATGGGCCAAGGAAAGACTTTCCAGCAGATCCCCCTACCCCGACTCTCAACATGACTTGTGGGTTGCTCTGTGACCTGACACAGGGCCCAGGCACCCACTCTATTCTCCAGGGAATAGAATGTCTGGTAGTGGTGGCAGTAGTGGCTGAGGCAAGACCCAGGACCTGGATAGGTTGATCTCAACCTTAGTGATAAAACACTATGTCTGGGAACATTTTTTTTTTTCCTCCCCAGTTTTTGGCCAGGGCTGGGTTTGAGCCCGCCATCTGCAGCATATAGGGCTGGCGCCCTACTCCTTTGAGCCACAGGCACCACCCTGGGCACATTTTTTTTTTTTTTTTTGTAGACAAGAGTCTCACTCTGTCGCCCTGGGTGGAATGTTGTGGCATCATAGCTCACAACAATCTCAAACTCTTGGGCTTGAGCAATCCTCTTGCTTCAGCCTCCTAAGTAGCTAGGACTATAGGCATGTGCAACCAGGTCCAGCTAGCTTTTTCTATTTTAAGTAGAGATGGGGTCTTGCTCTTGCTCAAACTGGTCTCAAACTCCTGAGCTCAAGAGATCTGCCCACCTCAGCCTCCCAGAGTGCTGGGATTACAGGAGTGAGCCACTGTGCCCAGCCTCTGGGCACTTTTTAAAGCCACATGTTCTTCTAGGGAAGACACAGTGACAGACTCGGTGCACTGCAACAAGTCAAAGAAGCAGAAGGAATTGGTATGCAGGCTCTGTCCATCCCACTTGCTAACTAGGTACAGGTATACAAACCTCCGAGCCAGAGCAGGGAGCATGTCCTATCTCTCCTTGAGCAACTATCAGTTCTTGCTGCCCAGGCTGCACTGGTTCACTAAAGTAGTGAAGAAAGTACTCGGAAGGTAACTTCATCCCCACCCAAGAATCTTCCCAGAACGGTGCACTAGAAAAGCCTCCCAAAATAAATTTTAACTGAACTCCCACATTAAATCATATTTAATCCAAACTCCCTGGAGGAAAGCCTTTCTCCCTTTTCAACTTTATGGCCCTTATCACCAAGAAGAGAGGTCAAGGTAAGGGCAGTGGCTGATTACTTCTGGTTCCTAAGAGCTTCTGAGGACCCTCGAGGGAAAAAGGGGACTCAAGCACTCACCTTCTGGGTGGCAGCTTCTTTTTGTATTTGACTCTGCCGCAACTTTTTCAACAAAACCAGTTTTGCTTCTTCTAATCTTAACTCTTCTTTCAGTTGCTTGATCATCCTTTCTCGTTCTTCAGGACTACTTTTCTGCAAAGGTGAAAGAACCAGGGTTGAGGGGGAGGGATCCTGGCAAGGAACAAAGACCCCCACCATCACCAGCTCCACTCTAGGGCACTGCTGCTGGGCTCACCATGAGTGCCTCGGTGCTGGTCTCCTTCAAGGCTGCCGTGGTCAGTCCATTCACCTGAGGACTGGAAGGCTGCTCGTTGTCAGAGAGCACGATCACATCAGGTGATGGGGGTCTCCTCTCGGACTTCATGTCACTATGGGGTGGAGAAAGAAGTCATTATAGAGCACCCTGACTGTTGAATAGGGTGTCCACACCTCATAGACAAATGGCAAGAATAAGGGGGGAACACCACAGCTGTTCCCTCCCTGGCTGCTCTGCATGGCTGGCTATGCTTGGGTGTCCTTCCTGCCCCACCTACTGCCTCCAGGTTGCCTCTTCTCACACTTCACCAGGCACCTAAACCTGCCAACTTATGGCTAGGCCCTTTAACAGCTGGGACTCCTTAGTTTTTGCCTATGTGTCCCCAGGGCTGAGGGCACGCGTGTCTCTGAATTTGATAGGATCATTCTGGAAAAAATGGCAGCTCTTTTCTTTACCCCATGGTACTGAATTTTATGGGATGTGTATGCCTCACAAACCAGCAGGTGTTGCCTGTCCATTCTGGAAACCACTAAACAGAGACCCCAGCCCCTACACGAACCAACTTTTTTGCTCACCCCTAGCATACCAACAGCCCTTATGCCTGGCAGCCCATCTGCCCCTAGAAGACCAAGGGGCATATTCCATGGGTTATGTCCTGCTCTCAAAGCAGTCCCCAGGCTTTCTGCTGGATCATCCTTACTGGGCAACATGTGGCCACAGTCCTATGTTTTGAAACTAGATAGGGCATATTTTCTCTCAAAGACCTAGGACACTCTACCCACCTGATCTACTCAGAAATTGGTTTCTGGCCAGTTGACCCACCCCCCCATATGCTAATGATGTGTAGACTGCTCTGGTCACACATGCCAAGGTCACTCTGCCTATTACCTTCCTGCACATCCCAGAAGTCCCAGCTCAAACTGCATCATGAAATTCTCATCACTCTAACCCACATCCACTTTTCTTTCTAATGAATTTGCTCCCCATTCACTGCAATGGTCTATCTGGGGAGTTTACTTCTGCCTGTGAACTTGAGCTCCTCATTTTACTGTCAGCCCACAGCATCTTGCTACAACCCAGGGGGGACAATGGCAGAAGCATCTGTGGGTGCTTTTGTTATTTGTCAAAATATGAGCATAAATGTCTAAGCATGTGGCTGTGTCATTAATTAGAACCTAGTAACACTATCCATTCTGTGCTAACTTTAGGCCGGGCTCTGAGTTGACAGTTCAGTGCATATTATGTCATTTAACTCAAGTAAGGAGCATGCCAGTATCTGATTCTCCCCTTCTTATGAACAATCCTCCAGGATGGATATACACATCGGATACTACTGATGCCACAGGGCTGAAGACCGGCTGTGGTACCACTGACTTGAAGTGAGTACCAAGCAGCTCTATTTGCTGATGGTGCAACGCAAACTTCTGAAGATCTGGGCTCAGTACTAGTGTCTTTATAAAGAATCTGATCCTTTTTTGTCAGCAAGAAAACCAGCTGAGGACAGAACACATCCACTAGGTGGCACCGTGACACCAAGGACAAACTCAGAGGACGTTAACTAGGAGTTAGACTCAAAAGTTATCCCCATTCTTTCCAGTAGACCCCAGCAGTGTTAAGAATGCAGAGTTACTAGGATGAAGAGCTTGACTATGCTTTGACAGCGCATGGGCCCTCCATTTCCATGCCCAAGGTGTTACATCTTCAGGGAAGGGTAGACACAGAGGACCAGAGGCTAAGGCTGTATCAACTTTCCAATGGACTCAGCAGATGCAGACTCTGGAGCTGCTTTCCTCACTCTCCCCTGGTCCCTCCTAATTACACCAGCCAAAGTGGGTTCCTAGCCCTGATCTGACTTAACTAGTGCAGCTGCCTCTCACCAGAAAACGGGGGAGTGAAGAAAAAAGTACCAACTTCACAGTACACAGTCCCCTCACACGGGAGTTTCACTAGCCTGTATTTTGAAGTCCAAAAATGTGCTGTTTGTGAAGTAATGTCGAATACCTCACTTGTGCCATACCAAACTGCTTGTATATTGTGTCTCTCCTTGCTTGCAGGCCCTACTTTGCCCAAGATTGACTTTCAAGGTGACCTTGGGGCTCTAATTCCAGGATCTCTGGATATGCACACTGACACTGAGTACCCTGAGGACCAACACAGAGCTGTAGCTGCTAGTGTCTGCGAAAGTGGGCTCTCAGGTGAATTGAGGAGCAGCAGCCCAAGTAGCACATTATATAGAGTTAGAGTCAACAACAAACATACTTCCTAGGCAAGCAGAGGCTGAAACGACAGCCAATCTACAATGACCTGTCACTTTTTAACATGTTATTGAGGGTGTATGCTTCTTCTAGAGTAGAGATAGCTAATGAAACTCAAATTTGCCTGAGGGAAGAGGACATGGCTTACAGACCTGGACTATCCACCAACTAGAGTTTCCCAAGAGCACCACTCTGACCACAGCGCTCCCTGGCCCCATCTTGGCCTGAGACTAATCAATAACTCATCCAAGAGATGATGTCACCACCCATCAATGATCACTCAGCATCCCAGCAGCCAGCAGGGAGTGAACTTCCTGTATGCTAATCAGGCCACCAACAAGTCATGTGACAAAGGCATTTCCCTCCTTGGTCATGTGACCTTTAACTGTGCCTTCTAACGTGAAAACCATGGCAACAGCCAGTTCTAACCGGTTTGTGACACGCAGCCTTCATTTTGAGAAGGGAGGTAAGGGTTCAGGTGCTGTCAGAAAATGGAGGCGTCAGGCTCACCCTGGGGCTGCAAAGCTGCAGGCACTTCCTGTGTGCCGCCAGCTCACAGGGGACTGCTGTGTGCCACAGGCACCAGAGTCACCTCTTACAAATATAGAGAGGGCCACTGGCCCTTCTAAGTCTCCAAAATAAAAAACTTTCTTTAAAGAAGAGGGGGCTTCAAGTCTTTCAGTATTTTTCTGGAGAGTTCCTTTAACTCAGGGGAAAAAAGTTGTATCTCAAAACAATCATAAGCATTATTCTAAAACAAAAAATTTAATTATAAAAACTGTAAAGTAAAGTGAAGGAAAACAGGAAATCTAGCCTAATGTGCTAGGGCAGATAATGTCACGGCCAAGGGACCACTGCGTCTGCCCTGGCTAGGTGCACTGTGTTGTTCAATCCACGGTGGCCACCCTGGGCACCAAGTTTATTTGGAAGCTATGTGGTATTTCAGAGCAAAGCCCATGAGCTTATCCTGCCCATTCTGAGAACCCTTAATGTAAAATATAGTTATCAAAAATGATTTTATGTGACCTATAAAAAATTCCCTGGAAGCAGGCCAGGCTGTTATCAACGTAATGGCCTCACTGCCTCCTTCCCAATGCAGCACAGAAATTGTTACCTGCCAGGAATTCCGTAGAGTTTCCTGGAGGGGGAGGCCAGGATTATAAACTTAAATCGTGACACAATCCCACCTCCACCACACAGAGTTATTGCTCTCAGCTGCTCACCAATGGTTAGTACATGGTTAATATTTAGTGTCCCTTCACAGTCCATGCCAGGAAGGAATCTCACTGAAGGAATGCAGAGCCGTCCTTGGCAGCTCTGACCTTTGCAGTTCTCTGAACCGGCTTGCCTTCTGTCTAGGGAAGGCATACTTCATCCTTCCCTCATTCATTCATCCATCCATCCATCACACATCTGCTGAAAGCCCATCTAAATCTAAGTATGTGCTGCACCAAGCAGTGGGAAGAAATACCTGGATAAAAGGTAATACTGTCCTTAGGGCTCACAGTCCACTAGGATGGACAAACAAAAACAAGAGAAGAGCAGGTCTGAGTGAGGCCCAGATGGAGAGTGTCTACGTGTCTAATGGGGCTAGCCTCTTTATTGTCTGCCCAACAGCTGCTTCAACCCACTTAGTGTAGGCAGTTTCTCTAGAGCTCTTACAAATGCAGGGTCTCCTTGCCCTCAGCCTGCTTGATCAAAGTTTGCATTTTAACAAGATCCCCTGAGATTTCTCATATGCTAAGGAAGTTGAGGATGACCATGAACTGTGGCCCAATGAGGTCTTGGCCCTCCTCTAGGCCAGCTCAGCGGAAGAGGCTGGGACCAGCATACTATAGCCACAATCATTTCCTGCTAGAACCTTTCCTTTATGCCCTTTTCAGGCCTGGCAGGGATGTGGAAGAAAAGGTGGCTGCTGTCTATGTTTAAAGGTGGGAGACCCTCCACACAAATCAAGCTACTCATACCCTCAGATCAACCCAAACCTCACCCAGCACTATCACATTGGCATCCCTGTACCCCAGGCTCCTGCCAACCAAGCCCCAGGCTGGGGTCCCAGACACCACTTGACATAACTCCTTACATGCTATCCCCCCCTTTATGAAACACCCCATACACACTACATACTTTCATCCTTCCCAGGGCTCTTTGTGAGCTCCAACATATCCTTCAAGATGCACCTCAAACTATTTTTGCCCTCAAAAGGGTCCCTGGCTGGTCCTGTCCCCCATGACCCTGCCCTGGAATGTAATCAGTGCTCCCCCAGTGTGCTCATGGGGAGCCACCCTTGCAGTGCACATCCGGGGAAGCCACCACAGCCTACCTTCCTCAGAAAGCCCTCTTAGCCCTGCCCCATGTAAGTGGGAAACTCCTGACAGAACTCTAGGAATTCTACTCATGGGTAGCACAAGCCTGAACAAAGCCCTTGTACCCCACTCCTCAGGGAGGGATGCCCTGTAGGTCTCTTGTGCTTTGGAGCCTTAGCTTAGTGACCAGCTCAACTGTCCTTGGCTCAGCAAACCTATGTAAGTGCCTCTGCTTCCTTGCATAGCACCTTCATGGTGGTGCCAGAGGGATCAGTCCTCCCTCCCTCAGCTTCCCAGGATGACATGCAGTTAATCACCTGCATGATAGGCAAGTTCCCTACCCCAAGCTGGGCCTAGCACCCCTCTTCAGGTGAGTGTGGCACAGGCCCAGAAGCCAGGGACCCATAGCCCTGCTCCATGGGCAGCCTTAGCCCCTAATGCAGGCCAGGTTGATGCCAGGATGATCAGATGAGCAAAGGACAAGGGAAAATCTGGAGAATACACCCTTGGGTTAACATCACAGCCTAGGAAAGGGTGAACCTCTCCAATAT